GGCCGCCGCCTCGCTGCTTATGGACATGAAGGGGTGCTACTCGCGCCTGGCCGCGCTGGTCCCCACCCTGCCTCGCCATCGCCGCGTCTCCAAGGTGGAGATCCTGCAGCACGTGATCGACTACATTTGGGACCTCCAGCTCGAGCTGCAGGACCCGCTGGTTACCGGGGCGCCCCCTCCGCGGGGCGGGACGAGCCGGCCGGAGCCGAGGTGAGCCCCTCGCGGCCAGGGCAGGTCTCCTAGGAGAGCGGGGGCCAGGCCCAGCACGTGCAGGAGGGGCCCCGCGGTGCCCAGTCCCGTCTGCCAACCCACCTCGAGAGCTTGGCTTCCTCCAGGGGCGCTGCCAGGCTCCGAAGCGCTCTGCCGCAGGCTTTTGCCGCGGGTTCAGAAAGCGGAGTGCCCCATTGGTAGCGCCGGGTCTCCTGCGCTTCTCCAAATATTTTCTTGGCGCACCGAAGAGGAACTCTTGGGCAGCTCTGCTTGCAAGGGCAAACTACCGGGAGGGGCGTTCTCGTCACGATGCCAAGTGCTACTCTTACCAATCCTTCTGGTGGGCCTCGATGCCCCCAGATTGGCCGGGGCGGATGCGAGCGGTTGGCCGGCACAGCTGGCGGATGACATGTTGGGGAAGACTTTATGGGAGGAAAGCTGTGCTAATTTTTGGTAGCCCCAAATCGGGAGGAGCCTGGTGGCACCTTTTAGGACTCACCAATTCTATTCAGAGGCAGAAGCTTTTGAAAGTTTCTGCCTTTGAATAAAATTGGTGAGCCGTAGAAGGCGCTACCAGTCCCTGGATGGTAGAAGAGACCAGCGAAGGAAGAGGTGATCCCTTGCCATTTACCTTCCTCACCAGATACCCTCTGAATTATGCCAGGCTTCCCAAACCTGTTCCAGGCAGTTGGGCTTCAGTTCCAAAATTCATGTAAACCCGCAGCCAGCTTGCTGGAGCTGTAAATCAGCTTCTTTACAACGTGCTCAGATAGGGAAGGGTGCCCCCTCCCCAATTTTTTATTTTTTCTAGAACTCAGGCCTTTTGTACGAAGTGTACAGCTGTCTATTCCCCCCCCCCCATTATACACGAAGGTTTGTTTGTTTGGGTTTTTATTAACGGTGGCATAACGGGTCCCTTTCGTTTTGCCAGACGGGGCATCTGCCATTGCGTCCCTGGTGGGTGGGCTGGCGCTCTGTTTGGGCTTTTCCCATCTTGCCTGGGACTGGCATTGGCCAGTTACGAAAGAAGAGATGCCTCTTGCTGAAACAGCTGCTCAGAGGCCTATTAGCATCTGAGTTTCACAATGCTCTCGAGCAGGCGCTTGACATCAGTCTGAAATCTTTGGTAGCGTTGGCAAGCTGCTGTCTGTTCCTCTTCAGGGACCGAAATAGTGTGCTGTCTCTTGTACGATAACCACTTTTTGCATTGTGAAAGCGATAGATGTCAACACACTGCTAATCTTTTGACTTGTGGTTTTTTTTTATTACCATTATTTTTAAACAGCCTGCTTGCGTTAATGCTGATGACCGAATCTTGTGCCGTTGAAGACCAGTTTAAGCCTGCAGAAGATCCCTGGAAAGAGGATGATATCGGTACCCCTCCAATGGCAGGGGAAGTGGGGTGCTTCCGTGGAGAAGTGGGGGCTCTGTCCCCCCATTCCCGTTTCCGGAGACACGGGCTGGACAGCAGACTGAAACTTGGTTGTTCTGGAGGCTGCAACACAATGGGAACCCTTGTGCATCACCGTAGGCCATGGTGCTTAATCCCCGAAGGGACCAACTCTACAAGAATTGGACTCCAGAGCGGCACCATCCAGGGGTTTAACGTTTCAATGGGGCAATGCTTTTTGTTTTCTTAAAAAAGCAGGATCTGAAACCTTTCCCAAGTATTTCTCAGATTTCTGAGAATCCCTGTATTGTATATTACAATGCTCTATTTCTGAGAATATTTTTTCTACGATAGTTTGCTGTTTGTTAGTGAACAAATGCATATAGCTGTGAAAAAGGCTTTTTGTAGAGTGTCCTTCATTGGGGCGATGAGGGGGGGCAGGGGTTTGTGGAGACCACCCGGCTATGCAGGTTGTGGAATCTGGGATTTGATGTCATGGCATATCTGGAGGGAGACACATTGGGAAAGTCTGTTAGTCTGGAGGTCAGAGTGGACTCTCGCCGATCATCAGCCCCAGGAATGGCTCCTGGCAGGTTCTGTCAATCATGGAACAAACCTGCAGAAGGTCCAGGGTGTCCTCGCTTGGTGAGACAAGCCACTGTTCTGATCTGTACGGCGTGGCTGCTGAAGCTTTACAACGGCGTCCTATCCAGGCTCAACTTGCATAGACCTGATCGGCCCTTTTGAATGTGGCGTCAGGGTGGTTCTGCTGGGTCTTTGATGAGTTCCATCAATCAGCTCTTGCGGGATATCTGCAAAGAATGGGAAAATCTCCCTACCAGGAAGTAAAGTCCAGCCAAGGGTCTGTGTGTGTGTGTGTGAGAGAGAGAGAAGGGGATCAGTCTCATCTCAACCAGGCTGAGCATGAAAAATGCTGTTTAGCTACCTTGGAAGTACCAATTTGGGGAAGGCTGAGATAGACCCCTCTCGGTGATAGAGCCCCCGCAATTTCAGAGGTTGGCTGTTCCACTGCTTAACAGTTCTCCCAGTTAGGAAATTCAGGCAAACCCAAGGTAGTTGCTTGCTCCGAGGAGCTGCTTACTCAACCGCCTTGCCAGGTAGGCTGATTCCACAGGCCAAATTTTATGAGGCTTCCAGCTAATCTCATGGAAGAAGTTTCGGTGTCCTCGCAAACTGCCAGACTAGTTTATTCCTTTTGGTTCCCATTTCAAGGCGGGAAGCTGAGGCTGAAACCCCGAAGGTGATGCAGTGCTCCACTGGGGCTCTTGGATGCGCTGCTCTGTGGCGCTGGCAAAATCCATCTGCTGAATGGTGTGGCTTTCTCCAGAAACTGGGTGGGTTAGGGTTGTGCTCAGAGTTGAGTAATGCTGCAAATGGGAGTGGGAAGGAATCTGTCCCTGCCAGTTCCTACGGCCTGGGGAAGACGGGACTAAGCAAATCTGAGCCGTGCAGCTGCTAAGCTGGGGGCAGGACTTGCCACGTGCAAGAGGAGCAAAGCTGGATGGGGAACGGGATGGACTCTGCCTGGCCTAGGTGGGCTGATGCACACCGAGCCCTGTGTGAGGTCTCATCATCTGGTGGGTCGGAAAAGCTGCTGGACCCCCAACAGTAAAAAGGAAAAACTCAGCTCCTCATCTCTTCACAGAAGCAAGCGGGTGGTTTTCTTGGCACCAACCTGGAAGTGACTTCAGCATCGCCACCACCCAGGAAAGTTTATTCGTTTCAACTTCTCAGGCTAGTCTACCCCCCGGCATTTTCTTCGGGTCTCCCATCTGAATATGAGATGGCGTAGCAGTTGGGGAGTTGGGCAAGAACCTGGGAGAGGCGGAAGCAAGCCCACCCTCAGCTGTGGAAACTCACTACAGTAGGTGACACAGGGTTGTCACACTCTCCCAGCCCAACTGCAGATAACAGATCCCCATGGAAACTGACTTAATCTCTAGCCAGTGTTTCTCAACCTTGGCAGCTTGAAGATGGGTGGACTTCAACTCCTGGAATTCTGGGAGTTGGTCCACCCATCTTCAAGCTCCCAAGGTTGAGAAACCCTGCTCTAGACATAGACTAAGGACTAAGAGTTGGAAGGGGTGTTAGAGGTCGTCTGTTCCAATCTTCTGCTCTAGGCAGGATGCACTGGAGCACCTGGGACAGCCTCTGTTTGAATACATCAAGTGAAGGAGAACTTGCCAAAATTTGTGGCAGCAAGTTCCACAGGCTGACAGCTTGCTCAGTAGGAAAACTCCTCCTGATGTCTCACTTGATCCTCCTTCCTTGTAGTTTCCACCCATATGTTCTGGTCCTGCCCTTGGGGCAACAGAGGAAAAGTCTGCTCCCTCTTCCATGATAACCCTTCAAATCTTTGAAGACCACTCTCCAATCTCTTCTCCGTGGTCTCTTCCATAGGCTAAGCATACCCCAATCCTTTATTTATCTTTCATACAACTTGGTTCCCAGGTCCTTCAATATCTCGGTAGCAACCTCTGGACTCGCTCCAATTTATCACTGTCCAGTTTTTGAACTCTGGTGCCCAGAACTGAACCTAGGACTCTGCCTGGGGCCTGGCCAGGGCAAAGCAGAGTGGGACAATTTCTTCTGTGATCCGGACTCAGTGCTCCTGTGAATGCCCCCCAAGATAGCATTGGCCTTTCAGCACCTGCGTCACACTGCTGGCTCACGTTGAGCTTGTGGTCAGTGAAGACCCCAAATCTTTTTTCACATGGGCTCCTGCCCAGCTGGGCAGCGACTGTCAAGTATCAGTACCTTACAATTTTCCTACCCAGACGCAAGCATTTTTCTGGTTGAACTCCATCCAATTCATTTCATTGCTGCTGAAGCCTGGGTCAAGATAGTTTTAAATCTTGTCCTGTAAAAGTATTATCCCCCTTTGTGTCCTATGCAAATCTGAGAAGTGTCTTCTCAACTTCTTCATCTATGTCAGTGTTTTTCTGGGAGTTGAAGTCCACACGTCTTAAAAGGTGCCAAGTTTGAAAACTTGTATAAACTATTGTAGGGGAGATGGGCGGGGGAGAAATCCAATATATAAAAATAAAAAACAAAAAACACTGGACTAAGTTATTGCAGGAGAAGAGTTGCGTCCGTGTATAGTGGCAAAAAATCAGGAGGAATCTGGTAGCCCTTTTTCTGATGCACCAATTTTATTCAAAGGCAGAGGTGCAGCTACAGCTGGCCCTCTGTGGATCGATGAAGCTTATTCGAAGCTTCTGCCTTTGAATAAAATGTGTTCATTGGAAAAGAGGCCACCAGAGTCTTTCTGAAAAGCCAGTAATGCTGATCAAGTCCTATTCTCTCAGCTCTCTGAGGTCAGCCATGATGAAAAGGTTGGAGGCTCAGCCGCCTACGTGCATAATTGAAGGGCAAGTTAAAGTCTTCTTCCCTTACAGGAAACAGCTATTTTGGCTGCCCGACATGTTTATCTCTGCTTATCTTATCTACGGTTTTTTCAATTACCCTCAACGTCTGGGTTTGCTTGACACCCTGAGCTGTCCACTGACCACAATGCTGAGTTTGCACCACACACCAGATCATTTGTAGTTGGCGGATTGGCAACGCGCGTTGGACAAATGTTGCCTTTTTCCGCAGACACAGATGCAGAGTTTTCCTTGGCTTTGTGGGTTATTCATCCAGGGAATATCCCCATTTCCCAGCATCTTCTTTTCCTCCTTCATGCCACAGTTTTCCCTCTGGTCCAGCTGAGAGACCTTGAGGGTTGTGTCAACAATAAATGTGATGCAAATGGTCGGTTGGCTTCTGACCATAGGCAGAGGGCAACATCTGTGGAAGCCCCACTTGCTTTGCAGAGGGACCCAGATGGACTTTCTGTACCAAACTGGCTTTCGGTGGGTTTTAGCCCCAGAACTTCCCTCTTCGTGAAAATCCCCATAGCACGTAGGTGTGTTGCCATACTGTATTTCCCATTCTGCTTCTTGTAGGAAGTTAGAAAATTATTTCTCCTGATGGGCTGGTAATTAGGGTGGGGCAGGGGTGTCTATAGGGCATGTCAAAAAAGTCAAGATGGCAGCCACGAACGAGCAAAGTCCTGCCTGTTTTTGAGGTGCATCACTGTGCACTGTCATGGTGGCCATCTTGACTTTTTTGACCCTGTGGATGCTTTCCCAATGGGTGGGAGGTTTCTGAAGACAAAAGGAACAACTATGCAGTCTGTAGTGGGAATCCAAGAAGGAGCTACTGGTCCACGCTGGGTTTACTGTCCTGTAATTCGTCTTGCTTCCCCAAGGTATGATGGGAATTGTAGTTCTTTGGCTTCCCTGTTGCTGCAGTGGTCAGGCAGAGGGTGATGGATGTGTGGATGAAGCTTCATCTGAGCAAGGTCAAGGGGCAGCTGTTTCCATACGGACAATAACTCCCCCAACCTCGGATTTTTGCATCTGCCGTACTGAAATTGCAGCAGCTTGGCCTAAGGAGAGTTGCGTAAAGACAACCATTTGCAGGAACAAGAATGATCGATGACTTTAATAGGCTGCCACCTTGACTTTTTCAACCCACCTCTGCAGATGCCCAGCACCAGGTGAGGGTGGGAACGGTTGCCATTAAAGCTTGGTACCTGGAGCATGATTAATTTGGTCATTGACGTAACTTTCATGATACACTGAAGCATCAGCTAACTCTGTTTCTCAACTTTAGCCACTTTAAAATATGTGGACTTCAACTCCCAGAATGCCCCAGCCAGCCATGGCTGGCTGGGG